AGGACGAAGTGCCATAGCGTGGGTGCCGGGGACAGGAGGAGGACGCGAACGAGGAACGCGACGAGTAGTGCGAACAGGCGAGACAAGACGAGACGCAGGCTCACGACGCTCTATAAGACCGCCGGACTGCTCAGTGTAAGGAGAAGGAGCAGGCAGTGGGGAGGCTGACTGTAACGGCGGCTACGACTGGTCAGGAGGTGGACACAGTAAGGGAGGAGTAAGGCCTGTAGAAGACGAGACTCCAAGAACCTGCTGAAGCCGAGGAACGAAGTACGGTCCTGGCCGCAGAGTGCCTCCAGCACCAGTACCACCAGACACAGCACCCCCAGCTCTAACACCTCCAGCTCCAGGGTCAGCAGCTCTAGTGGCTCCAGCTCCAACTCCTCCAGCTCCAGCGCCACCAGCGCCAGTGCCTCCAGCTCCAACTCCTGCAGCTCCTCTAGCGCCAGCACTACCAGCGCCAGTGCCTCCAACCCCAACACCTCCAGGCTCCGCAGGGTCTCCAGCTCCAGCTCCTCCAGCACCAGTGCACCCAACACTACCAGTCCCGGCAGCTCCAGTACCCCGGGTACAAGCACCTCCGGTACCACTAGCTCCAACAGGATCTCCAGCACCTCCAAGACGAGTAGCCCCAACACCTCTAGCTCTAGTGTCTCCAACGGCAGAGTCTCCAGCTCCTTCAGCTTCACTCCGAAGGCATATGCGCTGAGCAAACCACTCGCGCAGTTGCTGCGGAGAGAGAGGCTTCGGCCGGGGAGACAGTCGGTGCGAAGCACCCGCAGGACCTCCAGAAGAAGCAGTACCCCGAGGCTCAGCACCCCCAGACTCCGCACCCTCAGACTCAGCACCCCCAGGCCCAACACCCTCAGGCTCAGCACCTCCAGGCTCCACACCCGCATGCTTAGCACCCCCAGGCTCAGCACCCCCAGACCCGGCACCCTCAGACTCAGCACCCCCAGGCTCCGCACCCCCAGGTCCCGCACCCCCAGACGTAGCACCTGAGTCACCTGCTACCTCGACAGGCACAGTACCAGGGAGAGGGTCTACCTGAGACACACCTGAGGGAGCAGGACCCTGGGGCGGGAGGGGGTCTACCGGAGGAGGACTGGGAGCAAGGAAGAGCGGCAGGGGTGGGGGAGGGGCAGAGCGGTAGGGGAAGAGACGGTAAAAGAGAACCGACTCGTCAAACGTGAGGTCCTGAGAGGGGATGACACGGCGCAAGGTGGGGTGGTAAAATTGCCAGCCAGGCGCGTCAGGGGTAAGCCAAGGAAGACGAAGGGAATAGCGCGGGCGGAGAGCTTGTCCGCGGACGGATCGCGAACAAGGGCACGAGAGCCCCAGACCCAGAACACCGACGCATCGCCAACCTCCCCCGTCCAACGCAGTGTGGGCGAGGTCTCCGGTAAGGAGACACGGGGCCAGAGGTTGAGCTGATGCGCAGCGTACCGGACCGCAAACGGCCACAGAAAATGGGGAGCAGCCGCATGGATAATGGAGGTACGAGCGACCTCCATGACTAAGCCAATGCGGCGCTCAGCAATCCCATTTTGCTGAGGAGAGTCCGGAAGTGTAAACGACTGGAGAATGCCCTCCCCACGACAAAAGTCCTACAAGAGGTCGGAGGAGAACTCACCACCTATGTCAGAGTGCAGACGCGGGACAGGCAGGTCCTGGTGGAACCGCTCGCGGAGCTGCAGACGGACTGCGTGGATCCAAGGGATCAAGACATCAGGGAACTCACCCTTGCTGCGCAAGGGGAAGACCGTGATGTAACGCGTGTAGTCGTCAACAACCAGCAGGAAGTAGCGCTCGCGGCCCTGTCCACTGACGCGGGCTGGGTCCCACACATCCATGTGGAGAGTTTGCAGGGGAGCTGTCGTCAGGGGAAACGAGGAGGAGTGAGGAGCGGCGTGCTGCCGCCCCTCGACGCAAGGAAGGCAGGGCGGGGCAGGCGAGGGCGGGAGGGGAGGCAGAGACCTGGGAAGACTAGAGACAAGGAGGCGGGAGTGCATGCCACGAAGGCGTGGCAGGGAGGGGTGACCCAGGCGGTGGTGCCATAGGAGATTCTGGTGCGACAAGAGGCGACACGAGCAAAGGGATGCTGCCTAACCTGACGCAGACATCTGGGCAGACGCAGCTACCTCAAGAGGCTCGGTAGCCAGTGTGTATAGACTCGACCCTGGCCGACGGGTGAATGTGGCCAGGTGACGGCCCGTCCGTATACACGTGCAGATCGACACACGCTGACCCCCAGGAGTGGTGATAGTGACCATCTCGTCCTGGAGGGCAGCGGTACTTACCAAGTTCGTAGAGAACGAGGGGAGGTGAAGACCTGACACTGAGCCGAACGGAACCGCCGGACACCGGAGAACAGTGGAGGAACGGGCAAGGACTGGCCCCCCTGAGGGATCAGCCAGTCCGACCGGTACAGGTGCAGAGAGAGGAGTGAGGGTGGTGCTGTCGCGAAAGAAACAGCATGAAGCACCTGAGTCAAGCGTAAAGGTGTGCAAGGCCTCAACAGGCGCAGTACCAAGGAGAGCAGACTCACTAGCACCTAGAGCAGCAGCCTCTATACCTGGGTCAGGCAGCACACACAGGGAACAGTCACCCTCAGTACCAATAGGCAAAGCATACATGGCAGTGAGGATAGCATCATAGACTAGAGCAAAGATATCCACACTCTGCCTAAGCAGCTCTAGCCAGCGGGGAAGCTCAGCCGCATCGCCAAACTCTGCACGCCAGGTGTCGCTCAGACAGGAGAAGCAGTGGGACTGTGTGTGACCAACTATCCTGCAAATCTGACCAGCCCTATCACCTGTGCGAATGACGTATGGGCAGCGAGCACTACTCCGAGACGCCCCACGCTGAGCGTACCACTCACGAACTTGCTGAGGCGTAAGGGTCTTGCACGGACGCCGCTGACGCTGCGCCAGGCCACCGCCGGAAACTCCCAACTGAACAGCTGCACAGCGACTGCCACTACTGCCGCCGCCACCACTCCTACTAGCGTACCACTCACGTAGCTGTTGGGGTGGAAGGGACTCGCACGGACGCCGCTGCAGCTGCACCTAGCCACCGCCAGAAACTCCCCACCGAACAGCTCCACAGCGACTGCTAGTACAGCCGCCACCACTCCCACTGCTGCCACCACCGCCGTCACCACTCCCACCGCTGCAACGAAGGGCAAGCTAGGAGGCGCGCAACCAGTAGGGCAGCACGGAGGGAAGGCAGGGCGGCTAGCAGGCACCAGGGCCGCAAGAGTGCAGCGAGCGGGCCGTAGGTAAGCGGCGAGTGGGCAGCAAGGAGCGGCTAGGGGGCTAGGGGCTGTGGGCGGGGCTGCAGGGGCGGCGAGAGGGCCGCAAGGGGTGGCGCGTGGGGCTGCAGGGGTGGCTCGCGGGCTGCAAGGGCGAAGTGCAGGCCGCAAGGTGCGGCGGGCGGGCCGCAAGGGGCGGTGAGCGGGCCGCAAGGGGCTGTAGGGGCGGCGTGCGTGGCTGCAGGGGCGGTGCGCGAGCTGCAGGGGCAGGGCGCAGGGCTGCAGGGGTGGTTCGCGAGCTGCAGGGGTAGGGCGCGGGGCTGCAGGGGCTGTGCGCGGGGCTGCAGGGGCGGCGCGTAGACTGCAGGGGAGGTGGGCGGGCTGCAAGCGGGCGGCGCGCGGGATGCAGGGCGGCGGGCGGGCCGCAAGTGGGCGGCGCGCTGGCTACAGGGGCGACGGGCGGGCCGTGAGCGGGCGGGGCCTAGGGTCGACGGGCGGGGCCGGGGCCTAGGGTCAACGGGGCGCACCGGGGCCAGGGTCGACTGGCGGGCGCGCGGGGCATCAGGGTCGAAGGGCGGGGCCGGGGCCTAGGGTCGACGGGGCGCGCCAGGCTAGGGTCGACGGGCGGGGCCGTGGCCTAGGTTCGACAGGCGACGGGCCAGGGTGGGGGGCGACGGGCTTAGGGGCGGCGGGTGACGGGCCTAGGGGCGACGGGCCGGGGCCTAGGGGCGACGGGCGACGGGCCGGGGCGACGGGCCTAGGGGCGACAGGCGACTGGCCGGGGCCGGGGCCTAGGGGCGACGGGCGACGGGCCTAGGAGCAACGGGCGCCGGGCCGGGGCCTAGGGGCGACGGGCGACGGGGCCGGGCTAGGGGCGATGGGCCGGGGCCTAGGGGGGCGACGGGCGACGGGCCGGGGCGACGGGCCTACGGGCGACGGGCGACGGGCCGGGGCCTAGGGTCGATTGGCAGGCCGCACGAGGGCGGCGCGCTGGGCAGCAGGGCAGCTAATGGGGCAGCGCTGTGGTGGGCCCAAAAAAAATCGGTCCTAACGAAGGACCTGCTCTGAGACCATGTCAGAATCATGAAGAATAATGAATAAACTATGAAACAGTTGGGTACAAGTACTAACCCTAATTGGGTTGTACCCCTTATGGGCTACCCCACTATAGCCTACACAAATGTAAGCACTATAACATTATAATACACAAAATATTTGTTTCCAAACAAAATACACCGAGCCGTTAGTGTGGCCTCCAGATTTCACCCAGATAATCAGGGTAGGTATTGAAGTGAAGAAAAGAACTTAAGCAATTCAATCGTTCGATTGAGTTACTATAGTATTATTGTAGTACGTATTACTATATGAATGATAGTATCGCATGTGTTCCTTCACGAGTATAACAAGTACCATAATTACCCGGGTAATGGACCCTCCAAAATTATAGACCTCCGGGTCGTTAATTGGGGGGGGAGGGTCTAATGCTATTACCACTTTTGTATTAGACCCCCCTTTTTTTAACGAATCCAAATCAGACCCCCCCACACCCCCCCCTCCCCTCCCCACCCCCCCCACTGTATACACTACAAATTTGGGCGAGACTGTTAGCAGGCCACACATTACTGTAGTGATGGAACATTGGGGTAGAAACACATCAAATTAGTCACTCATCTTCGCCTGCAACCCACTCCTCCACTCCCCCCCCCTCAAAGTGGCCTGCTGACCACCACTCGTCACCATCCTCGAATTAATCATCCGCACCTCCCACCTCTGCATCTGTCTCATCCTCCTCCTCATCCTGACCCCCCACATCCCCCTCCTTGTCAACAACTTCCACCACATCCTCCTCCCCAGAAAGCCTTGCCTCGTCGCCCTCATCCTCATCATCCTCGGTGGCGGGATGCTCAGGGGCGTTGGCGGGGTCTTTGTGGAACGGGTTGGGGTGTGCTTCGTCTTTCCGCTCCTCCAGCACATCATCCAGCACCTCCACCTCTGCTTATATCGGTGAATACTAACTTTCGCAGCCTGAACGAAGTAAAACAAAAAATGTCAAGCATCCACATCAATGATGCCTTCGAATACACCTTTTAGTAATGCCAATATAATAAGACTTGGGTACGATGCAGTCTTATGCCTTCGGCAACGGTAACGCACTCGCGAAAGGGTGTTCTATCAGGCCTGATGTCGTGGTTGGGATTTGTCAGCCGGGTAGTTTGGGCGCAATGGTCATGCTGGCAAGAATAGTACCGAGGCGAGTGTCGTGAGGTGGTAACGGGCTACTGTTGGGTGTACAGTGGCGGGAATAGTCATGTACGTGGTATGTAGTGTGACGAGAAGTAAGAAAACAATGTTCAGTTACACTAACCAACTCCCCAATGGAGGCCCCTTATGAAAGCGCGTGCATGTCGCGGAAGTTTGGACTGTGCAGATACTCGGCGAGGACGGGGTGATTTGTACATTTGTCCAGGGGAATCTTGCTGTCCTTGGTGGGTGCTGGCTTTGCTTCCTGAGTCACGGTCCTCGCTCATCATCAACCTTAATCGCGATTTGCACACCTCTCGCTCAAAGACGTGAAGAGAGCAATTCTTCTAGAGGACTTCCGCCGCCGTGAGTTGGATATCAATTTTCTGTATATCAATCAGCCGGTTTTGCTGGGGGGGTGTATGAAACTATTTCAAGTAGCAGTTGAAGTGACGAAGCGAGTCTCCTACAACCGAGGGTTCAAACGCGAACATCAGCTTCGACCAATGGAAGCAGTCAATTCTGCTAAAAACGGCAGTTCAAAGTTTAGATTCCAGTTCGGCCTATAACAAAAGCGGAATCTGTTTGTGCGGGGAGTTTACTGCTGTTTAGTACACCGCTGTTCAGAATACCGCTGTTAAGAACGCCGCTGTTTGGAACACCGCTGCTCAGAATGCAACTGTTCGAGGGAGCTGATTGGGTATCGCTCGACCAGCTTGTTCGCGTGCACCAAACTCCTGACACGGCAGCTACACTGAACACTAAGCGCGAGCACATCTGCTCACACATTTTGAGGGCGAAGTCCCATTCCATCTCAGCTCGGTAGTGGAGTTTCGAGCTTGAATTCTCGCACACCGTTTGAACGGATCGATCCGAGCCGTTCTCAAAATGGTGCGAAGTTTCCCTCCTGAATCGTTGTCGTCAAAATAAGCCTTGGCGCGAGCATTTTTCGAAATGTCTCGCTGGCGAATCTACAACCCGCCAAGTCACAAAATACAATGAGCAAAACGCGAAATGTTCGCGCTGCGTTAACAATAGGAATTGTTTGGAGGTGTTTGATAGTTAGCACTAGCAACAGCCTAAAAGACTATATAAATGTATGCTCTGAATGATGAAAAACACTCTTTGCCTATCAAATGCAACAGGCGCATTGCTACCAGATTAACATCAAAGTACTCTGTGCCTATGCCGTGATAAGGAGTTCCACCGCTGCAAATGTACGTCGCTGAGATACTCTTTCGACAAACTCGGACCCTTGGATAGGGGCTGACTTCGGTCAGGCACCCAAGACCGTTGGAGGTGACCCCGAAAAGAGTTTTCCCAGTGATAGTGGAGCGGGGCTCTCGCTAGCATGATTTGTTTTGTCTATTTGTATGATAATCATACATGTTTTTTTTATTCATCTGATTTTCCAATCAGCATCAACAAAACCATGTCTAATGCTCGGGGTTAGGGCGTCCTCAGATCCTAGGGAGAGACCTGTAGTGGAGCAATCAGTAGTAGGACCTAGGTGAATTCTAGTAACAGAATTTGTTTTACAGTATTTAGAAAATCGGTTCCTTATAAGATAGAACATTTTATGATGATCTTATCTCTTATCATTCTCCATGATGTTCACCCTAACTTTTTTTTTTTTTGAAAAGTCTCCTAGGTCCTATATACGGGAAAATACGGTACTTGTCAAGACTAAATCTTATCTTATCCTTTAGCCTAGTTGTCTTCGAGAATCTGAAGCTGTTCGTCAAGGCTTAGCACACTGGCAAAAAACTCCTTCTCTTGGACCTGCGTATCTACCTTTACTGCCGCGATCAGCTCCACTTTCCCCACCACCTCTTCCCGGATGGACTGCAGCTCGTTGGCGATGTGTGCCATGCTTGGGCGGGCTGCAGTGCGCTCCGCGGTGCAGGTGAGGGCGAGCTGAGCCACATGCAGCACAACATCTGGAGGGGCGTCCATTGTGGGGTGCTTGAGGCTGCCTGAGTCCCCTGAGGAGAGGCAGTCCGACGCCTGAGGGAGTGGAGCGGGCGGGAGAACTCACAAACGGAGTAAGGTGAGCCAGGTCAACAAGGTGTGTACACTATATCCTTTTGATACCACTAAGAAGATCCTATCCAAGCTTTTGTTTAAAAGTGGAATAGTTCTTACTCAGAGAGTGATCCGCAAGCCCTGAGAAGACCACTATCAAAGTAAGACGTGCTTAAGACGTACCACAACCAACCACTGGGCAGCGTTGTGCCCTTCCCCTATTGAGACGACGCCATCACATAAACCCTGGTCTCATGGATAGGAAGCTTACCCATTTTGTGACCAGCTGATCCTGTCCATCACCCTCCACGAATGGTGGGCGTCCCGTAAACATGACCAGCATGAGCACTCCAAAGCTGAAAAGAAGAATTCAAAGGCACACGATGCAGAGGAAGAGCCAGAGGTGGAGGCGCGTCATATGATTCTTTCCACCTAAATGCACTGTGCACAGGTTTATGGACTGTACACACATATCACTTGGAGCCTCCTCAAATGCTTTCTAAAATATTTTTGCAATGTTTCTAAGAGACTCTAAAAGACAACTGCAGTGCATTATAACGGCTCCTGCAATGTTTTTTTAGGGGCTCCTGCACTTCTGTCTAAGGGTCTCCTGCAATGCTTTCAAACAGACTCTTGCTGTGCATTCCAAGAGATAACTGGAATGGCTTTCGAGGGTCTCCTGCAATAATATCTAAGGAATTCCTGCAATGCTTTCTTAGAGACTCCTGAAATACTTTCTAGGGGACACTTGTAATGCCTTCTAAGGGACACTTGTAAAAGAATCCTGCAATGCAATTTAAGCGTCTCCTGAAATGCTTGCTACGGGTCCCCAGCGATGGTTTCTAATTGAATCCTGCAATGCCTACTAAGGGACAGCTGCAAAGCTCTCCAAGACTCTCCTGCAGTGCTTTTCTCTCATGCAATGATCATGAAAGGGCCCTAATGCACTGTAAGGGTCTCTTGCAATGATTTCTAAGGGTCTCCTGCAATGGTTTACAAGAACCTCCTACCATGTTTTCTAAGGGTCTCCAGCCTCACCTGTACACATCCCTGCCTCACCTGTACACATCGCTGGCAGTGGTGGCCTTGCACGTGCTGAAGTAGGCCGGATCCACATAGCCCGGTGTGCCCATGCCGCGCGTCGTGCTTACAGAAGTGCCCTCCATCTTCACCAGCCCAAAGTCTGCAATCTTTGCCTGGTGATTTTAGTGAGAGCCATTGTAGCATGAGGGATGAAGAACAAAGCATGACAAATGGTTGCGCGTGGTGCTATCCTCATGAGAGCATGGCTTGACAATTAACAGGGTTTGTGATGAATTTCATGGTTGCAGTAATAAATGAGATATTGAGCTCAACCATAATAGGTGTCGGGTAATGTGCAATACTCAGATGGATAGCATAGCTTAACCAAGATCTGAGACATGACATCTCGAGTAAGTCATTTATTTGCCACATATATTCGTGGCAAACACGCCCCCATTCAAGAAAACGCGTTTAGTTCGTTCGCCTCTTTCGACTTGAAAGGTGTTTGGCCCAAACCTGACGGGTTCTGTCAAAACCAACATGTCGGATTTGACGCACTGGTTTTATACTTAGGCGGGAAATCAACAAGAGAGCTCTGTTTTGAGATTGAATGCTGACGTTTACAATACGTTTAGCCACAGTACTCACACCCGCGTTGATCAAATGCAACTGTTTAGGACCTTATTGTTTTAGGTCAGTTAGTTCTTCCGCTCAGTACTTGAGCTGGAGATTAGTGAGTTGAATCTAGCGCGCAAGGAGTAAGTTAGCGTAGATGCGGCAATACGTAAGTGAGATTGCAGATTGGGTTTGGGAGGTGCATTGCGGTACGATGGGTTTTGGGGTGGGGTGGAGTGGCTGAGAAATTGACAAAATCAGTGTCGCGACATAAATCCGCGACAATTCGAATCGCAACTGTCAAAAGCGAAATGGCGCAAACTTGCTTTCCCTGCCCTGTAATAAATCAGGTCCTTGAATGATCCCTTGAACAAAGTAGTTAGAGTTCAAGGCAAACATTGGATTGGAGTTTGCCTGTAACTGTAACTTCGAACACATGAACATTCTAGTTTGAAAAAAAAGTTTGTGGCAAAATGAATCCGAATGCGTTCCGTTTGCCTATGGTAAGTGTTCGTTGGGTTTGAGGCAAACACGTTCGAGTTTGACCTTTGCATATGTCTAATTTGCTGTGCCACTCAGGATTTGGTGACGTTACCATTAGCTACTTTATCTGGAATCGAATGCATGGGCTGACAAAAGAATCAAACAGCTTTGCCTCCACCAAGCAAATCGTTCTGACACCAAAATGATCTACCGCAACACAGCTCACCTGCATGCTGTGGGTGATGAGGACGTTGGCAGGCTTGATGTCTCGATGCACGATGCCAAAGCCATGGAGGTACTCGAAGCCTCGTGCCAGGCCGATGAGAATGTCCAGCCGCTGCTTCAGAGTCAGAGGGCGCTCTCCATCTGCAAGGAGTGGCAGAGCATGAGTGACAGAGGATGAGTGGCAGAGGGCAGGCTACATCTCAAGGATGCGTGGTACAGCATATGTGTGACACAGAATATGAGTGGAAAGCTGCTTTGCAGTCAGAGGGCACACTGCTTTTGCGAGGATGCTCAGCATATCTGGAACAGCATATGAGAGGCACATCACAAAACCTGCGAGGCACAAACACAGATCACACTGGAGCGACACACTTACTTAGACCAATCCATTCGCGAAGGTCGCCATTGGGCACGTATTCATAGATGAGAACTTGCTCTGGCCGCGACCTCAAGTCTCCTCCGATCGCAAAGCCAAGAAGCCTCACAATGTTGGGATGATTCTTGTCGGCCATTTGCTGGATCTGATTTATATAGCCAGAGAGGAAGGGTAAGTCGCAGGGAAGAGGAACTGATCGAGAAACGGGAAGTACAAACAAATAGTCAAGCAGGGATGCAACTGCAGAGAAGGTTTTGTTTTGTTTGTTTGTTAGTTTTTTTTTTTTTTTTTTTTTTTTTTTACGCTTTGTCTTCAATAGCATTGAAGACACAACCTACGAATGAGAAGAGCCGCAAAATGCAGTATAAAAAACGATGTGTTTTTAGTCAACTAGAGAATCTAGACGACGAATGGAAAATGACACTTAGGCCACAGAACACGCCATTCTATTATGCCTCACCATGGCTCATCATGGCTCACCATGGCTCACCACGGATCAATGACCTCCACATCTGCGCCGCACTAACCTCCTTTTGGAAGTCCACGAATATCAATTTGGCGCGCTTTACAGCCCACAAGGTGGTGCCATCGCGGGGAGACATGCCCTTGTACACATCGCCAAAGGCACCCGAGCCCAGCTGGTTGTCTTTTGACCAGTCATTGGTGGCCTTGAGGACCTCTGCTATTGAGAACTCCATGCAGTGCGAGGATGCCAGGCTGCTGCCAGTGCCTGCTCAGGGTGTCAGAGGTGAAAGAAGGTAAAACAGGCTTGAGAACGCGTTGGGTTTAGTAGTTTCGAGTCAGCCGAATCATGTGCCGAACTAAGTCGGTTCAGACCTGTAACTTGCCTTAATTTCCTTCTAGAACCAAGGTTGATTTGCTCCTTGTCGGTCAGTTCACGGATCATGAAACGGACGACTCGATTTGTTCTAGAGAGTTATATCGAACCAGGCTCTGATAGCCACTAAGAATTTGCAGTCTCAGAAACTTACATCCTTAAACCATCTATTGCCTCAACACTTCGACGCACCGGAGTACCAGGATTGTGTCGCCCCACGTTTACGCCCACTAGGGTACTTTCACAAGTCAAGGAGGCATGACAGGCAGCCTGTAAAATTGTGACCGAAGTAAATGCGTGTGCCAGGTCACGCAACTTGTGGCGAGTCAATTTCACTCGTTATAAGACCAGCGATTTGAGCGGTCGATCACGTCTCAAATCTGGTTTAGTCGAGGATCATTAGACTTGCAGACCTGCATGGTCATGTCAAAGCTTATGCAATGAATACCTTGTTCCCCACTGAACGCCATGTTGCAAGCAACCACACACAACTACATAAACAGAGTCTGGTTAATCAGAGCGTACTCTTCCTTTGCCGGACGTAAAGCAGAGCTGCGCCCAGAAGCAGGAGAATGACCACAGCAGCAACAACAACGCCAATGATGACTCCCAATGACACTCCACCTCCACCTCCTGCTGAAGAAGATTCGTTGCTGCTGCTGCTGATGCTGCTGCTGCTGCTGCTGCTGCTGCTGCTGCTGCTGCTGGTGGTGGTGGTGCTGCCGCCTCTGTTAATTTCTGCGAATGACATGAGCATAGGTCCACGCACGCAGTGGGGATTGCTGCAAGCCGATCACTAACAGAATTAGCAAGTGAGGGGTTATTTTTCTAACATGCCTTGTGCCATGCGATGCCATGCATGCTCATATGCTGCCATGCATTCTCATACGCTGCCATGCATTCCCATACGCGTATCGCTTGCTATACCGAGATTTGTTTCCAAAATCATATATCCCTGGCACAACACTCTCAACTCCAAAACGCACTGCGCCATGCATCACGTCTTGTCTCGTCGCGTTCAAGTCTGAAATCATACTTCGCTGGTGTTTATTACTCGCCTGCAGATTGGTTGGTGCAAGTATTGCAGAAGGGTTTACACGTGCGGCAAAATGATGTTTTAGGAGATTGTGTTACACCACAGGCAGAGTTGTCTGGTGGGCATGTGAGGTTGGTGCCAGAGATGTTGCTGAAGTGGAAAAGGGGAGATGATAAGGCGGAAATCATGGGCAGCTGCACAGACATTCATTTCAAGCTCAACCGAACTAGTGGTAGGCTAATTGGTTCTCAAGGTGGGAATGGCATGTGGATGGTGGCTTGGAGGGCCACATTGCCAGCATCCTGGCAAAAGCTGTAAGTCACTTTAACTCCGGCAAGAGTGCTCTCCTTCCTTTAGATCAGCCTCTCTCACACTCCTTACACGTTCATTTCGGATTCGGTACTTACGCGAATGTTCCAGGTGCGATCTGCTAGCTCGAGCGTACTCACAAGTTACAAGTTTGTTACTTGCTAAAGCCTACTCACAAGTACTTCAATGAAGTAACGCCTCCAATCTCAGTTGGAATCTCCCCGCTGAGGTTATTAGAAGCAAGGTTTCTGCTCACATGGGTTGGTTGGACGTCAAGTGTGGGAGTAAGCCCTGTTAGCCTCATGCACGCAGGAACGCAAAGTGATATGCATCCACCCATCCGCACAAAGGAATGCATCCATCAGTTTAGAGATGAAGGAACGTGGCAGTTTTAATGCCTGAATCCATTTCAAGAGACCATGAATGGCATACTAGTAC